GACTGTAGAAATGGGAGGCAAAATAAAAAATAAAAACCACCTGCTGGTGCAGAGAAACTCACACCATATACTGTCCTAGAAGTGTCCTCTCTAGAGAGCTTTGGTTTTGTTTCAGGCCAGCTATTTCCTGCACAACAGGAGTTCACTGTCTCCTTGGGGAACCTGAGATACAAACCAGGCCCCATCAGATTTACAAGTGCCAGCTGAACTGCTCCATGCAAAATAAAAAATAAAAACCACCTGCTGGTGCAGAGAAACTCACACCATATACTGTCCTAGAAGTGTCCTCTCTAGAGAGCTTTGGTTTTGTTTCAGGCCAGCTATTTCCTGCACAACAGGAGTTCACTGTCTCCTTGGGGAACCTGAGATACAAACCAGGCCCCATCAGATTTACAAGTGCCAGCTGAACTGCTCCATTTGATGGAACTTAAGCATGGCTAGGGCATTTACTTTAGGAAAAATCAACACATTCAAATCATTAGGTGGCTTTAAAGGGCTCCTTTCTTCCTCTGTTTTGCCAAGTGGGTGCCTCAGACAGGCCTGGTGCAGTGGGGCAAGGAGAGGTGGATGCTGGCACAATGGCTTGAAGGCAGCTCACGTTGTAGTCAAGTTGTGTTATCTTCTACAGGGGTCTTAAAGGCAGCACACCACACACACACAGACAAACAGCTGGTGGGAGAGAGAAAAAGAGCCCAGTAAGTTAAATGTTACGTAGAGCAAGAAAGGCCACAATCAAACTGCCATCACTACAGAAAAATTATGTGGGCAAGTAAAAAACAAAGTTAATGCCATGTCTGCAAACAGGGCAAGAGTTTTTTGAAAGCACGTCCTACACCAGAGATGCCCTCCTGCCACAGGGCAGCCGGTCCTGGGAAAGCCAAGGGGCTTTGGTGGGGTGCTCCAGGGTGGGGAGGGGATTTGCCAAGGCTCGCACAGAAAGGGGCTGTGGCACGAGAGGGGCAGAGCATCCCTGCGGCCTGGCACGCACTGGGTCAGATAGGAGCCCAGCACTGAACACCCTCTTGAGGGCTGCAGGTGTGCTGGCTGTGCTCAGCCCTTTCCAGTTCTCAAATCCCCAGTAACGGGGAAGGATCTCGGCTATTTCACCCCAGAGCTGCACATCATTTCATTTCCTTTTTCCCCACAGTGCTCCCATCACCAGTTTCCCGCTTCCACCTCGAATACTCTCCATATCCTACTGAGCACTGCCAGTTGTCCCCACCATCCTTACCCGGGATACCGAGAGCAGCAACGCCAAAGGGCTCTGTACCACCCAGCCACCCTCCTTCATTTGGAAGGAAATAATATTTGGAACAAAAGAGTTATTTCTTATAATGAGATTAATTTTGCAATGCCCTTAATAAGTGACTGATGGCAATTACCGCGGATAAGCTCCCCAGCCCTGCAGACTTCAAATCAAAACGGCAATTAGG